CAGCCTCCGTGGACTGGCCTGGCCTGGTCTGGTCTCCGCCTCCGTGGTTAGGTCTGGTTTTAGCTTTGATGACCCTGCCCTGCCCCACCCTGCCTGGTGGCCTGGGGAGGCTCCTAGTGCAGGTATGTGGAGGGTTTGAACTCCAAACAGTCTCTGCTGACTGTAAACACCTGCGGGGTGGGGGCTTGGGGCTCTCTGCTTCTTGGGGGCCTCCCTCTGCCTGGGCCTGTCTGCCATTCGCGAGTAAGCCCTGCCCTTCCCATCATGTGCAAGTAAGAGGTCATTTGTGGTGGAAGAAGTGGTCTAGACTTATACTTCCTTCTAGGCACCGCCTACTCTTTCCACACACTCAAGGCTTTTCGCAACAGGCTTCTGAGCCTTTCCCCAGAGCCTCCTCTGTTCTTTGCCCCCAGAATGCCTCCAGAGATTCCATTTTGCCTGGCCACCTGTGGGATACTGCTTGTGGCTGTCATTCATTCATCCAACCAATCTTGATTGAGTGCTTACTATGTGCCAGGTACTTGGAGGATAGCAGTGAACAATATGGGATCCCCGCCCATGTGGAACTTAAATTCTAGCTGTTGCTGCTTGCTCTTGAAGCCCTGAGTTTGCCCTTTTTCTGAACCCACCTCCTTGCCTCCCTCTCCATCAAGACCTACACAGGCCTTTGGACAGCCTGATTATCCCTGGCTCTTCAGGATAAAGTGGCTTACTGTGGCTCTCCAGGAGCTGACATCTGACTTCACTTGGTCAATTAAATCACATGGTTTTTTTTTTCCCCCCCTTCTCAAGACAGGGTCTTTCTCTCTTTGCCAGGCTGCAGTGCAGTGGTGTGATCTCGGCTCACTACAGCCTCAACTTCCCAGGCTCAAGCAATCCTCCTGCCTCAGCCTCCTGAATAACTGGGACTACAGGCACAGACCACCATGCCCAGCTAATTTTTTTTAGAGACAGAGTCTCGCCATGTGGCTCAGGCTGGTCTCAAACTCCTTGTTGCCTCAAATGATCCACCCCCTCTGCCTCCCAAAGTGCTGGGATTATAGGCATGAGCCACCATGACTGGTCCAACTTCTGACTTCATTTCTGCCTTCTAAACATGCTTTTCTCCAGGAGCTGGCTTCACCTGCTGTGCTGACCTAAACAAGCCCCCTGCCTTCCAGTGGCATCTGCTGTTGCCACCACGCCAGCCTCCAACTCTGTCCCCAGCTCGTGGCCCTTGGCCTGCCTGGCACTGATGGATTGGTCTTAAATCGAATGAGGTCCACGGGCCTCTTGCAGGCCCCCATCCCAGCTTCTCTTTTTTTTCCATCATGACAAATGTCCTGTTGATTTTCTTCATTGTGTCCCCCAAGAAATTGTCATTTGCCCCTTTTCTGTATTTCCTATGACTTACTCCCTGCTGGTAGGCGCCCTTTATTTTGTGCTTGTGTTTCTGGAACTGTTTTCTAGCCCCACACTCTTTCTGTGGACGCTGAGCCTGGTGCTTCTCACCGGTCTGCCTTCTGCAGTCTGGTCAGGCTTGGCCTCCGGACTGGAGTCCAGGGTGCTCACGGCACAGTGCTTTTGGTGGCTATCTCTTTCTTCCCTGTGCTCCTCTTGGTGCCTCCTCCCACTGCCAGCCACATGACTCTTCCTGCTGCCCTCTGTAGGGAAGGGTCTGGCTCGCTTCCTGCCTCTGGTGGACACTGGCCTCACAGGGTCCACTACCTGGCTTGCTGAGTTCCCTGTATTCAGTCTCCTGCCCACATGTCCGCCGTGCTCTAGTCTCTTGTGTATACATGATGCAGTCGGATGTGGTCCTGGGCCTGCAGCGGGAGCCCCTAAAATGCACTGTAATTGGTCTGTATGCTCGCCAGGGAAAAAATGCACTGTAACCAGGAGTTGAGGTCAGGCGTTGGGACAGGCCCTGGGCCCCAGTCTTCAGGTGCACTGGGTGTTGGCGTGGCATGTCTGGGCACTTCCAAGGTGGCGTGGAGGAGGCAGTGTGGCTCCCTGGCCCAGGTCCCAGCCTCCTCCCTCCCGCCAGTCACTCCCTGGATACCCAGCACCATCGTCTTGGTGTCTCCGCCAGTGCTGTCCAGAGGCCCTGTATTACTGCCTTGTTTTCCTGTGACTCCTCTCTCCCCGCCAACTTGGGACACTTGTCGATGAAGCCCTTCCCCAGCATCCCATTTTCCGCTCTTCTGGAGTGTTTCTCTGTGCCTGGAGGTCACCGTGCCTGTGTCCTCACTTCTGCTCAGTGCTGGAGCACAGGATAGGCAACTTTTGTGGCCCAAATATATCAATAAAATATGAAGAAAAATGGTGGGGGTAGTCCTGGTCCCTTCCACTTCTGTTCTATGTAGTCATCTGCAGGTCAGGCTGTTGTTTTTTTTGTTTGGGGTGTGGGTGGGTGTGTGTGTGTGGGTGTGTGTGTCAGAGATTCACTCTTGTTTGAGACGGAGTCCGCGCCCGGGCTGGAGGGCAGTGGTGTGATCTCGGCTCACTGCAACCTCCACTCCCAGATTCAAGCGATTCTCCTGCCTCAGCCTCCCGAGTAACTGGGATGACAGGTGTGCTCTACCCCTCTGGCTAATTTTTGTATTTTTAGTAGAGACGGGGTTTCACCATGTTACCCAGGCAAATCTTGAACTCCTGACCTCAGGTGATCTGCTCACCTTGGCCTCCTAAAGTGCTGGGATTACAGGCGTGAACCACTGCGCCTGGTCAAGTCAGGCTAGTTATTGATCTCCCCTAAAAGACCATGGCATGAGTGTCGTGGGCAGAGAGGGGGCAGGGAGTTGCCAGTGCAGTCCACTCAAGCAGCTCAGTAGGCCCCTGTGGTGTCCCTGGAGGGCAGCTGGTAGAAGTCAGAAAGACAGATGAGCCCCCGTGACTCTGCTGTGTCCACAGAATTCTCCACTTTGAGAATAGGGCCCAGGAGAGGGGAACTGAAAAGAAAGGCAACATTCTTTTGGGAGAGGAAGGAGGGACAGCTCTGGAGGAGCCAGGCGCCACCCTGGAGCCCGACCCACCAGCACTGTTGCGGCGGGAGGCTCGGGCCCTTTGGCCAGGCTCCTGTGTGCTGAGAGCCCCCCGCGTGCAGGGGAGACCCCTCTGCGAGGTCAGCTGAGGCCTCGTGGTTGGACTGGTGATGATTCCCATAGTCGTCTCTGCCCCCATCCTCTTCTTGGCTCACCCTGTCTCCCGTCTGGTTATTTAGAGAAGATTCTCCAATCTGTCGAGGGTCCAGGCCTGCTGTGTGACTGAGGGTGCTCAGAGCTGCCCTTTCTGGCAGAACGTTGGACCCTCCTGGGGGAATATTTGGGGCTGGGAGCGTTGGGGAGCTTGGGCTGGGCAGTGAGTCAAGGGAGCTCTGGCCTGGGTGACAAGAGTGGCCAGGTCAGCTACTTCTGACCCTCAGGTCACACCCTGCAGCAGTGGCTTTGCCATCCCCAAGACCTTTGGTGACTTTTCAGCGTGTTGTCCTGGGCAGTAGCCCTAAGGGTCAACTGATCCTGACCCCACATGTGGGCTGCTGAGGCTGCACTGAGGCCCCTGGGGTGACAGGTGGTTTCACCGCAGAGCCAGGAGCCCCAGATGGGCAACGCTGCCACAAGGGCTGCTGCTGGAGGAAGAGCTGGACTCTGAGGGTGGGGGCCTCATGTAGAGGAAGGAAGGAGTGGCCATCCTGGGTTCCTTTTGCCTGCCTGTGGCTGTTCCTCCTGGGTCCTCTTGCCCTGGGCTGGGTGCCTGCTTGAGCTCCCCCTCTGCATGTGATAACTTGGGGTGGCCCTTACAGCTGTGCCAAAGCTACACCTTGGGGTCCTAGCCCCAGCTGGCCTGCGTACTGCTGTGGGCTCACCCCACCTTTCTCCCACAGCCCTGGGCGCTGCCTATGGCACAGCCAAGAGCGGCACCGGCATTGCGGCCATGTCTGTCATGCGGCCAGAGCTGATCATGAAGTCCATCATCCCAGTGGTCATGGCTGGCATCATCGCCATCTACGGCCTGGTGGTGGCAGTCCTCATCGCCAACTCCCTGAATGACGACATCAGCCTCTACAGGTGAGCGCTGGGGTCAGGCCCCATAGGGCTGGAGGGCTGCAGGGCCGCAGGGAGGGGACCGGTTTCCCCGTGGGTGGTGACCCGGACCTCTGTCTCCCCCTGGTCAGCAGGCTGCTGATGTCAGTCCTCTCTTCTTGCCTCCAGGAGCTTCCTCCAGCTGGGCGCCGGCCTGAGCGTGGGCCTGAGCGGCCTGGCAGCCGGCTTTGCCATCGGCATCGTGGGGGACGCTGGCGTGCGGGGCACTGCCCAGCAGCCCCGACTATTCGTGGGCATGATCCTGATTCTCATCTTTGCCGAGGTGCTTGGCCTCTACGGTCTCATCGTCGCCCTCATCCTCTCCACAAAGTAGACCCTCTCCGAGCCCACCAGCCACAGAATATTATGTAAAGACCACCCCTCCTCATTCCAGAACGAACAGCCTGACACATACGCACCGGGCCGCCGCCCCTAGTAGTTGGTCTTGTACATGCGCAGTGTCCTAGTGCCCATCGTCTGTTTTCCTGGCCTTGCCCCCGCCTGCCCCATGCCGTGGACATCTGGGCCCACTCATCGCCCCTCCAGGCCCCCGGCGCCCCACCCCCTAGAGTGCTCTGTGTATGCGGATGATTTAGAGTTGTCATTTCTCTTTACTGGATGTTTATTTATAAAGATCTGGCCTGTTCCCGCGTCTGCGGAGCGGCCCTCGTCTCCCAGCTATCTATAACCTTAGCTAGAGTGTCGCCTTGTGGGTTCCTGTTGCTGAGACTTCCTGGATGGAGCCGCCCTCACCGCCGGGCTGTGGCCCTGCGCGGAGCTGTGTCCAATAAAGTTTTTGGATGTGACGGGCCTGTGTCTGCTCAGCTTGTTGGGCGCGTGGGCGGGGGTAGGCGGGCCGGCGCCCGGCGCCGCAGGTCACGTGGGACGGCCCAATCACGTGGGCTTGGCGGTCACGTGGCGCGCCGCTTCAGTCAGCTGAGGGTCACGTGGGCGCCGCCGCGCTCTGAACCGGGGTTAGTCACGGGCGCGGGATTTGGCCGCCGCGGGGCTCCGGGCGCCGCTCGCTCCCGACAGGGCTCACGATGCGCGGCGGGCAGGGCGCGGCGGAAGCTCGGGTGCTCCAGTTCACTAACTGCCGGATTCTGCGCGGAGGGAAGCTGCTCAGGTGGGCGCGGGCTGGGGTCTGTGGGGCCGGGGACTGGGCCGGGTGAAGGGTGCGGGGACGGGGACCGGGCGGGGTGCAGGGTGCGGGGACGGGGACCGGGCGGGGTGCAGGGGACGGGACCGAGGTCAGGCCCGCGATGCGAGCACCCTCCCGCTCCGTCCGCAGGGAGGATCTGTGGGTGCGCGGAGGCCGCATCCTGGACCCGGAGAAGCTGTTCTTTGAGGAGCGGCGCGTGGCCGATGAGCGGCGGGACTGCGGGGGCTGCATCTTGGCGCCCGGTTTCATCGACGTGCAGATTAACGGTGCGGCTCGGGGCCGTCAGGGGGACGCAGGAGAGGAGGTCTGAGCTCCATGCGACACCTCCTTTTCTGTGGACGCAGGTGGATTTGGTGTTGACTTCTCCCAAGCCACGGAGGACGTAGGTTCGGGGGTTGCCCTGGTGGCCCGGAGGATCCTGTCGCACGGCGTCACCTCCTTCTGCCCCACCCTGGTCACTTCCCCACCGGAGGTTTATCACAAGGTGAGGTGAGGCTCCTTGGCAAAGGCGAAGGGGGCTCCGGGAGCAGCCAGCGCCCTCATTTTCAAACTCACGCCCCACCCCCAGCACGTGCTCTATAGTCCTGAGGCTGGCCCCCCTTGCTGACCCGACTTGGGCCAGGGTCCCGCCTCTGTGCTGCTTTATCAGTTATCGCTCTGGCTGGCCTCCCTAGACCCTCTGTCCTCCGCAGCTGTCTCCACACTGCTGGCTCAGCACCCTCTGAGCCATAGGTCGGCCCCACCCTCTGCACTGCACTCTGGCTGCCTCCAGGCTTCAGAAACTACCCCCTTAACCAAGGTCGCGGGGGACTGTGATTGGCACGTCGATAGTCCCTGGTCAGGCTCTTCCTCCCTAACCTGTCTGTTGTGTGACTCGGTGGAACACGCCTTCCAGAAGCCACTCCCCTGTGCTGCTTGCCCCACGCTTCCACTTTCCTTCCTGTCCGGAAAAAATTTGGTGGTTTTTGGTCTTTCTTTATTTTAATTTTTACTTAGGTTCTCCAGGGTTAACTCTCTGCCGTGTGTTACTATTCAAGGCTGTACCTGTATTGTTTTATACTGAACTATTTGGGAGTAGGTTGTATCCAACATGCCTGTTGCTTTTTTGTTTGTTTAGTTTTTGTTATTTTTAAGAGACGGGGTGTCTTGTCTGTGGCCCAGGCTGGAGTAAAGTGGCGTGGTCGTAGCCCTTTGCAGCCTCAACCTCCTCTGCTCAAGAGACGCTCTTGCTTCAGCCTCTTGAGTAGGTATGACTATAGGTGTGTGCCACCATGACCAGCCAATTTTAACGTTTTTTGTAGAGATAGAGTCTCACTGTGTTGCCCAAGCTGGTTCTGAGCTCCTGGGCTCAAGAGATCCTTCTGTCTCAGTCCCCCAGAGTAGCTGGCACTAAGGGCTTGTGCCACTACACCTGACTAATTTAAAAAGTTTTTTGGGCCGGGCATGGTGGCTCACGCCTGTAATCCCAGCACTTTGGGAGGTCGAGTTGGGCGGATCACAAGGTCAGGAGATCGAGACCATCCTGGCTAACACGGTGAAACCCCATCTGAAAAAAAAAAAAAAAAAAGTTTTTTTGTGGAGACAGGGATCTCATTATGTTAACCAGGCTGGTCTCAAACTCCTAGACTCAGGAGATCTCCTGCCTTGGCCTCCCACAGTGCTGGATTATAGGTGAGAGCCACTGTTCCTGGCCCATCATGCCTGTTTATTTCTTAGTACTTAACTGTTTTTTGTTTGTTTTTTGTTTTTGTTTTTGAGACAGTCTCGCTCTGTTGACCAGACTGGAGTGTAGTGGCGCGATCTCAGGTCCCTGCAAATCGCCTCCCAGCGATTCTCCTGCCTCACCCTCCCAAGTAGCAGGGACTACAGGCACACACCACCATGCCTGGCTAATTTTTGTATTTTTAGTAGAAATGGGGTTTCACCGTGCTGGCCAGGCTGGTCTTGAAATCCTGACCTCATGATCTGCCCATTTCAGCCTCCCAAAGTGCTAGGATTACAGGTGTGAGCCACCGCACCCAGCCAGTACTTAACTCTTTCTTAAGATAATGAATATTTTCTTACATAGCCACAAGAGTTAGTGAGTCTAGGAAATGAACACTGTTAACAGTACTTTAATTGAGCCGTCTGTGTTCTAGTTCTGTCCAGAGCCCCAGTCAATTTTCCCCTCCAGCATAGAATTCATTGCAGGATCACCGCTTGGGTTATGCCCGAGGGGTCCCTTTCTTGGTGTGTGGGCAGAGCCAGAGCTGGGAACAATGGGGGTGGTGTGTGGGTTCTGGGCGCAGGCTTTCTGGATTTGGCGTTGGCCTCCTGATGTATCAGCTGAAAGACTCAGGACAGCCTACTGCCTTTCTGAGCCTCCATTTCCTCAAACCTAAAGTGCGGATGATGGCAGCATGCATATCATGGGTGCTCAGCATTGTGCGTGAGATGCTGAGCGTTAACCACTTAGTATCACCCGTGGATGTCTTTTTGGAAATTTCCCACAGCCCTCCCCACACAGAGTTAAATGTCAAAAACTGGCACCTGGTTCTCACAGCTGTTCTCTGGGGCTTTGGGGCCTGCTAGAGCGACCTGTCCAAGATTCAGGATTCAGCACATCACCTCTGCCCTGCCCCCACCTGCAGCATTCTTTTCCTACCTGTCCAGCCTCTTCTCTGTCTTCAGGCACATTCCCCACTCCCGTCCCCAAACTCTTGGCCTAGAAGACCTTGGCTTGCTCCCCAGGCCTCCTCTGCTAAACCTTGCCTGCCTGTCCCCACTGTGCCCCCAAATACCTGCGCATCTCTGGCCAGCACAGACGTGGGAGGAACTATGGCTCTTCTTCTTGAGGAAGAGTCTCTGACAAGTAGGACTTAGTTTTCTTTCCCAGCACTCACTGCAGTGCAGGTGTCTTTTTGTTTTTTTGGTTTTTTTTGAGACGGAGTCTAACTTTGTCGCCCAGGCTGGAGTGCAGTGGCGTGATCTTGGCTCACTGCAACCTCCGCCCTCTGAGTTCAAGCGGTTCTCCTGCCTCAGTCTCCCGAGTAGCTGGGATTACAGGCACCTGCCACTGCGCCTGGCTAATTTTTTGTATTTTTAGTAGAGATGGGGTTTCACCATCTTGGCCAGGTGGGTCTTAAACTCCTGACCTTGTGATCCACCCGCCTCGGTCTCCCAAAGCGTGCAGGTGTCTTACCCTTGGCGCGCACACAGGATGAAAGCAGAGAGCCAACTATTGAGAGTGGGAATTGGGAGGCCTCCTTCCTGAATCGTCTTAGAAACTGGAGGCCCCTTCACCTGTGTCTGCCCTCCGCCATGCATGCCACCTCCTCCAGGAGCCATTCACCCTGGGTGGAATTGGATGGTCACCTTGCTAGAAGTTTCCTCGGTCTTTTGTTGTCCTGTTCTGGTCCATTGAGACCGCCTTCTCTTCGGGGTGGTTTCCGCATGCCCTTTGCTATGGTACCTGGAGACAGGTCAGATCACTTTGTTCTCTGCTTCAAGTCTGTTACCTGCTGAGCCAAGGTGAGGCACCTCCAGGGGGCAGCCAGGCCCCTGCCTCTGGCCCCGCACACTCTCTACACTTGGACCTTTCCAGCTGCTTATCTGCCTGGAGTGTGCCTCACTCCACTCCCCTCGGTTGATCTTTGACTGTGTTCTCTCTATGTAGCACTCTCTTGCTCCCTTCTAAAACTCCATTCTAGAAAAACTCAGCCATTGCCTTTTGTTGTTGTTTTTTCCTGTTTTAATCTTTAGTGAGCCTGTGTATCCACAGGGGTTGTGAGGAAAAACAGTGGCCCTTTGCCCCAGCCAGCTTCCACCCTAGGGACAATCACTTTCAACACAGTGGACTCTTGGAATTTGTCCCCGTAGCTCTAAAAACTGCTGGCTGCTCCTCAGTCTTTCAGCTCAGGGCAGAATCCACTGTCTTCCACCAGGAGAGCTGAACATCAGCGTGCTTGTGGCTCCGTGAGTCCCCTCAGCCCCTTTCTTGCCCCTCATCCTTCCCAGTAGTTCCCCATAATTGTGATGAGAATAGCCACGTAGGTCAGTCATCAGCGTGGTGTGAAGGGATGTGTGGCCCAGTGACATCTTCTCAGCTACCATCTCTGCTTGCTTTGCCGTGAGTGATCTTTGTTTCGTTTCTTAGCTCTAACTCAATTCCAAGCTTCCTGCTGATTGTTTCACTCTCCTCTCTGGCCATTTATTTATTTTTCAAGATGGAGTCTCCCTCTGTCACCCAGGCTGGAGTGCAGTGCGGCGATCTCTGCTCACTGCAACCTCCACCTCCTGAGTTTAAGTGATTCTCCTGCCTCAGCCTCCCGAATAGCTGGGATTACAAGCGCCTGCCACCACGCCCGGCTGATTTTTGTATTTTTAGTAGAAATGGGATTTCTGCATGTTGGCAAGGCTTGTCTCAAGCTCCTGACCTCACGTGATCCAACCGCCTTGGCCTCCCAAAGTGGTACTGGGATTACAGGTGTGAGCCACTGTGGCCAGCCAAATGTTCCTTTCCCCCCTCCCCCCGAGACGGAGTTTTGCTCTTGTTGCCCTGGCCAGAGTGCAATGGCACGGTCTTGGCTTATTGCAACCTCTGCCTCCTGGGTTCAAGCAATTCTCCTACCTCAGCCTCCTGAGTAGCTGGGACTTCAGGCATGTGCCACTATGCCTGGTTAATTAATTAATTAATTTTTTTATTTTTATTTTTTTGAGATGGAGTCTTACTCTGTTGCCCAGGCTGGAGTGCAGTGGTGTGATCTCGGCTCACTGCAATCTCTGCCTCCTGGGTTCAAGCCATTCTCCTGCCTCAGCCTCCCGAGTAGCTGGGACTACAGGTACCCGCCACCACACCTGGCTAACTTTTTGTATTTTTAGTAGAGATGAGGTTTCACCATATTAGCCAGGATGGCCTCGATCTCCCGACCTAGTGATCTGCCCACCTCGGCCTTCCAAAGTGCTGGGATTATAGGCGTGAGCTACTGCGCCAGGCCAATTTTTGTATTTTTAGTAGAGACGGGGTTTCTCCATGTTGGCAAGGCTGGTCTCGAACTCCTGACCTCAGGTGATCCGTTCACCTTGGCCTCCCAAAGTGCTGGGATTACAGGTATGAGCCACTGTGCCCAGCCCAATGTTCCTTTTTCTACCATCCTATTCTTGTTTCAGGAACAGAAGACCTCTTATTGGCTGGAGAGTGTCCTTGATGGCCCTTTTCCCTGTCCATCTCTCCTCGTGGTCTCTGCTTCCCCGCCTGGCCCTGTCCTCTTGTGTTCAGGCTCCTTTTCGAGGCTTGCCCAGGGCCTGCTGAACTTGGTGGTGTGCTTTCTTTCAGAACAGGTGTCAGCAGGCTGGCTGGGGGCACCCAGCCTGCGGGAGGGGCTTTGTGGAGGCACTCGTAGGTTGGGGTCCCTGGGTCCTTTCTCTTGAACTGGCTGGGTTCCCTGAGAAGAGTGTTGAAGTGCTCAGAGGGGCTGGGCCTGGCTGGCACCCTGCCGAGCGCCTCAAGAACACACATTTCCCGAGTTCTCGCTGTGCCCACACCGACCCTTGCCCATCTGCTCTACTTCCCCGGGGGCCCGGCCAGCACACTCAGGGCAGGTACTCTTCTGTTGGTCCCCACATCACCCCACTTCTCAAGGCACCATCCTGAGCCTGTGGGGGTCACTTCCCCCACTGTGTGTACCCCCCAGGACCTGCCCAGTGTCCTCTTGCTAAGCCCCCAAAGTCTGGCTGTCTTCCTCCCATCCTCTGCACCGCCCCCTCCACCCTCGGGTTTAAGGCTCTTAAAAGTCTTACTGTTGGCCGGATGCAGTGGCTCATGCCTGTAATCCCAGCACTTTGGGAGTCCAAGGTGGGTGCTCGATCAGGAGTTTGAGACTGGCCTGGCCAACGTGGTGAAACCCCATCTCTACTAAAAATATAAAATTAGGCCGGGCGCGGTGGCTCACGCCTGTAAACCCAGCACTTTGGGAGGCCGAGACGGGCGGATCACGAGGTCAGGAGATCGAGACCAGCCTGGCTAACACGGTGAAACCCCGTCTCTACCAAAAAAATACAAAAAACTAGCCGGGCGAGGTGGCGGGCGCCTGTAGTCCCAGCTACTCCGGAGGCTGAGGCAGGAGAAGGGCGTAGACCCGGGAGGCGGAGCTTGCAGTGAGCTGAGATCTGGCCACTGCACTCCAGCCTGGGTGACAGAGCGAGACTCCGTCTCAAAAAAAATAAATAAAATAAAATAAAATTAGCCAAGCATGGTGGTGCACACCTGTAATCCCAGCTACTCGGGAGGCTGAGGCAGGAGAATCGCTTGAACTCGGGAGGCAGAGGTTGCAGTGAGCCGAGATCATGCCATTGCACTCCAGCCTGGGCGACAAGAGCGAAATTCCATTCCCAAAAAAAAAAGTCTTACTGTTGTGCAGGGTGGGGAGTTCAGGGGAGGGTATAGTCCAGCTACCATCTTCACCTGAAGCTCTTGTCTCTGGGAAGCCCCCCCGGGCCCGTGCCTGTGTTGGAGAGAGGGAGTGTGTGCTGGACTGCCTGCCCGCCTGTCAGCCTCTGAGATGTATGGTGTGAGCCTGTGTCCCCTCTTTCCCTGGTACTCTCAGTCTTCCTGATGGTGTCCAGCTCCGGCCACGGTGTTGGCCACACAGAGTGCTGAGCCCTGGCCATGCCCACACTGAGCTCTGCTCCAGGATCCCTGCTGCTCCCGCCTCCTGCCTCCCAGCTGTGCTCCCTGGGCTGCTGTGCCCGGGGCCACCCTCAGTGCCCACAAACCTGCCCACATGGCCCAGGGACCGCTGGCATCCTACATGCCTGTCGTTTCTTCCTGCTCCTGCCATGGGTCCTTCAGTTCTGCCAGCTGTGCTTTCCCTGAGCCCTGCGAGGGGACAGGTGGCTGGGGCTGGGCTGGGTGCTGGGCTCTGAACTCTGACCCGAGATCTCTGGCCTTGGCTAGGCTGTGGCCTCTGGGAATGGGCCATGGGGGACAGGGCTTTAACAGCTGGTTCCCCCCAGGTTGTTCCTCAGATCCCTGTGAAGAGTGGTGGTCCCCATGGGGCAGGGGTCCTCGGTGAGTGGCTGACCCCCTCCCCGCCCCCACCCTGGGAGGCTCCTGTGGGACCTCTTGGCAGCCCCAATCCCTCCAGATGCCCAGCTGGTGGGGAGGGCAGGTGATAAGGGCTGGGTGGGACAGGGACCTGCTGGAGCCACTTGCTCCCTTCTCCCAGGGCTGCACCTGGAGGGCCCCTTCATCAGCCGGGAGAAGCGGGGCGCACACCCCGAGGCCCACCTCCGCTCCTTCGAGGCCAATGCCTTCCAGGACTTGTTGGCCACCTACGGGCCCCTGGACAATGTCCGCATCGTGACGCTGGCCCCGGAGCTGGGCCATAGCCACGAGGTGATCCGCGAGCTGACGACCCGTGGCATCTGCGTGTCCCTAGGTGAGGGGCTGGCTCAGGGCGGGCCTGCCTGGGGGACCTGGGCCAGGTGCAAAGTCTGAATCCAGGTCCCGCAGGGCACTCAGTGGCTGACCTGCGGGCGGCAGAGGATGCTGTGTGGAGCGGAGCCACCTTCATCACCCACCTCTTCAACGCCATGCTGCCTGTGAGTGCTGTGGGGCCCTGGGGGCGGGGCTGGGGTCCCAGCAGCCCCTGCTGTCGCTCAGCCATCCCTTCCCCCGACCCTGCCCAGTTCCACCACCGCGACCCAGGCATCGTGGGGCTCCTGACCAGTGACCGGCTGCCCGCGGGCCGCTGCATCTTCTACGGAATGATTGCGGATGGCACGCACACCAACCCCGCCGCCCTGCGGATCGCCCACCGCGCCCACCCCCAGGGTAAGCTCCGTCAGGTGGGTGGGGCAGGCAGGATGAGTGGGCCAGCAGGTTCTGAGCCTCTTCTCCCCTAGGGCTGGTGCTGGTCACTGATGCCATCCCTGCCTTGGGCCTGGGCAACGGCCGGCACACGCTGGGACAGCAGGAAGTGGAAGTGGACGGTCTGACGGCCTATGTGGCAGGTGAGCGCCCTGACCTACTGGGTCCCAGGTCCCAGCCCGCATGCCAGGTGGCCCACGACCCCCCAGAGCCTGCCCTCTCTGCTCTCAAGGCACCAAGACGCTGAGCGGCAGCATAGCCCCAATGGACGTCTGTGTCCGGCACTTCCTGCAGGCCACAGGTCAGTGAGCAGCACGGGTGCGGGTTTAGGTGGTCTGTGACTGGCGGGTCTCCAAGGGCTGGACTGGGTGCCCGGAGTGTAGCCCAGGCCCTGCCCACAGGAGCTCCTGGCCAGTGTGTACTTGGTGACTTGGGCCCAGGGTGGCAGGCAGACCAGCGGGATCCTTGTTAGCCTGCTGCAGAGTTCCTGAGACAGAGTGCTGGGGTGGTGGAGGGCTGTTGACAAAGCCACGTGGGCTTGGGGACCGTCACCCAGGTGTGTCCCCCAAGCAGGCTGCAGCGTGGAGTCGGCCCTGGAGGCTGCATCCCTGCACCCCGCCCAGTTGCTGGGGCTGGAGAAGAGTAAGGGGACCCTGGACTTTGGTGCTGACGCAGGTGAGGGCGCATCGCAGGGTTACTGGGCAGCCTGGCCTTACCTGTAGTCTCTGTTGTCCTGAGGTGGCCTGGACAGGGTCAGGAAGGGTGGGTCCTCCCTAGCTCCCTCCTCTCAGGTGGGCTGCCAGCTGCCAGCCTCAGTTGTAGCCCCGTGTTGCCATCAGGCCAAGCTTTCTAGTGTTGCAGACAAGGCCAGGCAAGGGGTTGCAGGGAGCATTGTCCAGCACCTCTATCCATCTGTGATGGGCCACGGTGTCCTGCACCGGTTGTATCCCTGTGCCTTGGTTTCCCCACCAGCGTCGGGTTGTGGGGGAGTAGGTGGGCAGCCCCACTCCTGCCCCTACTCACTGCCCGGCTCTGTCCCAGACTTCGTGGTGCTCGATGACTCCCTTCACGTCCAGGCCACCTACATCTCGGGTGAGCTTGTGTGGCAGGCGGAGGCAGCCAGGCAGTGACAAGGACTTCGGCTGAGAGGACGCCCAGCCGCAGCTGGATGCCATCAGGGCTGAGTGGTTGGGGAGCTGGTCTCCAGGGAGTGAGTCGGGAGCCCTGCTGGAATGACGCCCAGGGCCTTTGCTGCCGCCCTGGAGGCGGTGGCTGGGATAAATGTGCACCCAGCAGGACTCACTTTGGCTCCGGGTTTTGCTTGTGCTTGCACGTGGCACCATCCTTGGTTGCCCTCTTGGGGAAGGCATTCGTGGCCTGGGGTGGGATGGCTGGGCTGTAGTTCAGCCTGGGCCTTGGGCCCCAGTGGGGGTCAGGGCCTGTCTGCATCAGGTAGACCTGAGACCTGCAGATCCCAGGAAAATGTCACTGTGGGAGGGAGGGGCAGTCAGTCAGTGGCTGGCACCGTGGGGGTGAAGTCACCGTGGGCTAGGGGCGGAGAGCGGGCAGGAAGGGGGCAGGGCACAATGAGTGTGAACAGTCAGGGGTTTGCTGTCTGCACCTGAGTTGGGTGTGCAGCGTGGAGCCCACAGCCTAGTTCTGGGCCAGGGCAGAGTGCCAGGTGCTCTACTCTGACCTCCAGGAGGGAGGCTGGGCCCAGCCTCCGCCCTCTTTTCCCTGGCCCGCCCAGCCCTGAGTGCCACGGATGACTAGCTTTCCATTTCCCCTTCTCAACAACCCTGTCTCCTCACCCATCCCCAGGCCTGGTGCTTGTCAGCTGTGGTGACCCTGCCTGGTGCTGGAGAGCAGTGTGGGAGGCACCAGTGTGCTCTGCTCACCCCATTAGTGTCATCCTGCCATCTTCTGTGTCCCCTTGGCCTTGGCACACACCCATGTTGCAAACAGGCCGTGAGGCTCCCTGAACAGCTTTGAGGCGGGTGGGCTTCTGGAGCCCTCCTGGCTCTGAGGATAGCCACAGCGGGGTCAGACATCAGTGGTTGGTGCAGCCCTAGGTCAGGGGTGGTTGTCTTGACTTTCTCTCCATTTGGGTTCTGGGGTGGGTGACCCCCTTCCCCCTTGCTTACGGGTGCTGTCCTGGGTACAGGAGGTATGTGCCTGGCTCTGCCACTGTTCTCTTCCCTCTGCTGCAAAGCCCAGTTAAGGAAATGTCTCTAGTTCCAAAGCAATAGGATGATTGGGGCCCCGCCTGTTGGAAGGGAACAGCCAGGGAAGAACCACCTGCCAGGCAGGGCCTTGCCTGAGTGAGGGAGGGCCTGGGGCAAGGCACAAGGGGTTGATCTCCGCCCACAAGCCCCAGGGGAAGCCCAGGAAAGCAGGCGACGGATGTGGATCCTGACCACCTGAGAGGTGGGGTGCAGGAAGACCCACCTCTTCCCTGACACCCACGTACCCCTCACGAAGTGGCTGCCCAGCGCCTGCGTGTGCTGGACCTGGGAGAGGAGCTGTCTGCTGGGGCTCACAGGCAGGGAGAGGCAGGTGAGGTTCTCAGCCGATGTGTTAGAGGCTGAACAGCTCCTGTGCTCAGCTTGCTGGCTGTCAGTGCTTGATGTGCCCGTCCTCAGCTAAAACCCAGAGCTGGCCTGTTGGTCATCCCCACCTCAGACGGGGCACCCAGTCCCAGAGCTGGTGAGCCCTGGGCCAGCCTTTGGGCCTGGCCTGCCCCATTCACTGACCAGCGCCCACCTCCCTGGGTGGAGGGACTGGCCGAGATGGTTGGTCCACAGGGCTAGCCCTGGGTGGTGGGAGAGGGGCCCGGGGTCAGGGTGAGAGTGACCTGGGCTGGGGAGCTGCTGCAGGAGGATTTTAGTTGAGGTGTGGTAGAAGCACTCTTGGTGGGTTTTGGTTTCCTTTTTAAAAATTGTGGTAAAATACATAACAAAAGTAACTATCTTACGTGAGCCGTTCTGTGATATGAAGTGAATTCACTGCTTTGTGTGACCTTGGCCACCATCATTCCCCACTCCTCACTCCCGCTGGACTTCCAGCCCTGCCCCACCATTCCGCTCCCTCTACAGCTATGGGTTTTACAAAGAAGGATGCAGGGCGACCTGACTGCGCCGTGAGGGGCAGGCCTGCCCGCGGTATGGGCGTCCGCAGAAGGGGGAAGCCCAGGTACCTGCTTGACTCATGGGTTAGGGTTTGGGCATATGGGGAGGGATGGAGTTGGAGGTGCATCCTCTCAGCCACCTGGTGGGGGTGGCCTGTTTGGTCCCGTGTGTGAACGGGAGATGAGACCCGACGCCTGCGATCGCGCAGACCGCGCCCCGCCAGGAGTCACCTGTGGGCGCACGCTGCTGGTGGGATGCTGGGCCGAGCCCGCGGGTTCAAGACCCAGATCTCAGCCAGGTTCCTTTCGCCGTCCAAGCCTCCGCACCTCGTGGGCTCCGAGCACACCCAGGCCAGAGACAGCGTTTGGGGCGTGGGCACGGGAGACGGTCATCAGCAGGGACGATCTCGACCGATCCGGCCCCGCCCCGCAGCCCAGTCTCTGAGACCGCGCTGACGCGCCACTCTGGGAGCGATGCGGTACGCGGGGCCACGCCTACTGTGGGAAGGGATTCTGGGGGCGGACCTCTGTCGGGCCAATTGGGATCGCGGCAGGATAGGCACGCGCCGCGGCTGAGCAATAGGGGCGCGCTTCGTCCTCTCCAGTTAACCCGCGCGGCCCTGGTCGCAGAGCTCGAGGCTGCGCGGTCCCCCGCGAGCGCGGGGAGCTGGGGGACCAACGCCGCCTATCCACGCCCCTCACACCTCTGCGGGTCCCTTCTCGCCCCAACCCTTCCCACCGCGTCACCCAAACCCCCGCGGACCCCGTCTCGCCCCAGCGCTCCCCGCCACGCCCCCCACACCTCTGCGGGCTCGCCTTGCGCCAACCCTCCTCGCCACAATCCCCACAACCTTGAACACCCCGCTATGCTCCCTGCCGCGCCCTCACACCCCTGCGGATCCCGTCTCCCCACGACGCTCCCCGCCACCCCCGTGGAGCGCCGCGTCGTCCCAATGCTCCCGGCCGAGCCACTGCACCACTGCGGACTCCTCCGCGCCCCAGCGCTCCCCACCGCGACCCCCACAACCCTGTTAGACCCCTCCTCGCCCCAACCCTCTGCGCTGCTCACTTTATACCCCTGCGGACCTAGTCTCGTTTCGTCCCAGTCCTCCTTGTCGCGTCCTATCGTCCCGCACCTCCGCACCTCGCCTCTCGCCGCGCCCTCACTGTCTTGGGAAGTGAAGGGGAGGAGTGGTCTGGGCACTCTAGAAGCACCCCGGCTCGGAGCTTCCCTAGCTTGGAGTTGGTTTTGAGCTCAGGCCAGGAACCCAGGGTGGGCACAGCAGGGGACATTGGCACCAGAAGCGTGGAGGAAGGGCACTTCCTCAGCCCAGTTTTTCCGCCCCTGGAGTCTTGGACAGCTCCGGAGCGTCCGGGTACTCCCTTCCAGCCTGGCCCTGTGCCTTTTACCACATTTGTGTCACCTACGTTTTTTCTTAATGGGATTACACTTTTGCTATTTGCAGTTCGGTTTTTTGTTTGTTTGTTTTTTTGAGACGGAGCCTGGCTGTCTCGCGCAGGCTGGAGTGCAGTGGTGCGATCTCTGCTCACTGCAGCTTCTGCCTCCCCGGTTCAAGCGATTGTCCCATCTCAGCCTCCTGAGTAGCTGGGATTATAGGCGCAGGCTACCACGCCTAACTTTTTTGTATTTTTAGTAGAGATGGGGTTTCACCATGTTGGCCAGGCTGGTCTTGAATTCCTGACCTCAATTGATCCGCCCGCCTAGGCCTCCGAAAGTGCTGGGATTACAGGCGTGAGCCACCGTGCCCAGCCTTTAAAAAAAAAAAAAAAAAAAACAGGGAGTCTCACTGTGTTGCCCAGCCTGGCGCGATCCTGGCTCACTGCAACCTCCACCTCCTGGTTCAAGTGATTCTCCTGCCTCAGCCTCCCTAGTAGCTGGAATTACAGGCATGCATCAACACGCCCGGATAATTTTTTGTATTTTTTTAAGTAGAGACGGTGTTTCACCATGTTAGCCAGGCTGGTCTCGAACTCCCGACCTCAGGTGATGCGCCTGCCTCGGCCTCCCAAAGTGCTGGGATTACTGGTGTGAGCCACCACGCCCAGTTTTTGTTGTTGTTGTTTTTGCTTGTTTGTTTTTGTTTGTTTTTTGAGGTAAAGTCTCACTCTGTTGTCCAGGCGGGAGTGCAGTGGTGCCATCTCAGCTCACTGCAACCTCCACCTCCCAGGTTCAAGCGATCCTCCTGCCTCAACCTCCATAGTAACTGGCTACTGTTCCTGGCTAATTTTTGTATTTTTCGTATAAACGGGGTTTCACCATGTTGGCCAGGCTAGTCTCGAATTCCTGGCCTCAAGTGATCCACCCGCCCCGGCCTCCCAAAGTGCTGGGATTACAGGTATGAACCACTGCGCCTGGTCTGCGGCAGTTTTTCTTTGTTTTTTAAAGAGATGGGATCTCACTGTGTTACCCAGGCTGATCTTGAACCCCTGGGCTCAATTTTTGTCAGTGTACCTGGCTAATTTTTGTACTTTTAGTATAAACGGGATTTCACCATGTTGGCCAGGCTGGTCTCAAACTCCTGGCCTCAAATGATCCACCCTCCTTGGCCTCCGGAAGGGCTGGGATTACAGGCGTGAGCCACTGCACCTGGTCTGCACCCAGTTTTCGTTAGTTTTTGACGGAGATGGGATCTCACTATGTTGCCCAGGCTGGTCTTGAATCCCTGGGCTCAAATCATCCTCCTGCTTCTGCCTCCCAAAGTGCTGGGATTACAGGCTTGAGCCACCATGCCCGGCCATAATTATCCAGTTGTAAGGTCAGCTGATTAATTCATCTCTCCATATAATAACACATTCACAGTTTGGGAGATTAGAATGAGAACATCTTTGGAAAGGCCACTATTCTGCCTTTTAGAGAGAAAGGCCTAGGACAGGAATTCCCACTGCTCAGGTTTAAAGGAAATACTATGTTGCTATCATTGGTTTATGAAGGCGCCCCTTTCTCTACATTCCTACCAACATTGGATATTTTCCACTTTTGGGACTTTTAGCAGTTGTTGAGCCAGCCCATTTTACCTCAGGGAAAACTGAGGTTTAAGGAGGGGAAATTACTTGCCTAAGATCTCATGCAACTTTCTGTTTCCTGACTCCCCGTCAAGTCTGATTCTCTCTTGGTGTGCCTTATATGGGAGGATATTTACCCGGTGGCTTGGAAACCACTGAATGTATCTTCCATCCACGTATCTGCAGCCCAGCAAATGTATATTGGGAGCCTCAGACATGTGACCAGGGCCTTGTGGGCCAGAGGCAGACAGGAGACCATGTTGTCTTTTTTTTCTTTTCTTTTGCTTTTTCTTTTTTTTTTTTGAGACAGAGTCTCCCTTTGTCACCCAGGCGGGAGTGCAGTGGTGCGATCTCGGCTCACTGCAACCTCTGCCTCCCGAGTTCAAGAGATTCTTCTATACTTACCTGGCAGGGGAGATACTATGATCACGAAGGTGGTTTTCCCAGGGTGAGGCTTATCCATTGCACTCCGGATGTGCTGACCCCTGCGATTTCCCCAAATGTGGGAAACTTGACTGCATAATTTGTGGTAGTGGGGGACTGCGTTCATACTTTCCCCTGAGAAGAAAAAAAAAAGAGAGATTCTTCTGTCTCAGCCTCCTGAGTAGCTGGAATTACAGGCATCCACCACCATGCCTGGCTAACTTTTGTAGTTTTAGTAGAGACGGGGTTTCATCATGTTTGCCAGGCTGGTCTCCAACTCCTGACCTCAAGTGATCCACCTGCCTCACTCTCCCAAAGTGCTGGGATTACGGGTGTGAGCCACCGTACCCGGCCAGTGCTGTTGTCTTTTGAGAGCCCCCTTTTCTCTCACCTGATCTCCCTGCCCCCCATTTTCCCCTTTAGTCCCCTTTCCAGATGCTACTGAGTAGCTGCAGCGTCAGTCTAGAAATGCCAACCAGGTTGGGATCCTTGCTGGGAGAGCCCTTCCTTCCCTGGTTTTGAAACTCAGAGCCTTCTGGTGTGCACACCTGCAGGATCCAGGCCGGGCCTGTGCTTCTTGCTTCTTTCTGACTCTGCCTGAGACTGGAATCCTGGCTCTGTCCTCAACTAGCTTGAAGGGGACCCCCAGTAATGACGCCTCCTGTGTAACCTTCATACCCTTGTGTAACCTTGTTTCACTTTGTAAAACATTTTATTTAAAGTTTTTGTTGTTGTTAGAGACAGGGTCTCACTTTGTTGCCCAGGCTGGTCTCAAACACCTGGCCTCAAGCAGTGCTCCTGCCTCAGCCTCCCAAAGCACACCCGATCTCTTTCTATCAGGGTTGTTGTGTGTGACCAGCAGATGTGTTAGAAGTGATGGTGTGTCACTTCTGAGGTTAGGTCATTAAAGACATGGCAGCTTCTATCTTGCGTGTGTTCTCTTTCTCTTGGGACACTCGCTCTGGGGAAAGCCAGCTGTCGGGGCTTGAAAAAACACACCCCTTTGAAGATGCCCATGTGGTGAGGGACTGAGGCTTCCAGCCCATAGCTGTGGGAATGTGGGAATGAACCTTTTAGGAAGTGCATCTTTCGGCCCTGCTGTAGCCTTTGATGACTCAGCTCTGGCTGCATCTTCATGGCAACTTCACGAGAGCCTGAGGCAGACCACCCAGCCCAGCCTCTCCTGGATTCCAGACCCACAGGAACCATGAGTTAGATGTCTTTGTTGTTTTACACATCTAAGTTTTGGGGCAATTTATTACACAGTAGTAGATAACTAATACACCAGCTGTAGGGCTTTGGGCATGTTCCTTAGCCTCTGCACCCCCATTTCCTCCCTTGTGCCATGAGAGTTGTAGAGGTGAGTGAGGAATGCATAGATGCAGCACAGGGCCACACACATGAGGCAGCTTTCCAGCCCCTCCCGGGATGGTCCTGGTCATCTTCTGGCTCTTCCCTGGATGGACTGTGACCTCACAACATCAGGTCAACTTACTGCATTCTTGGCCTGAGGTCATCCATTGGCCATGGACAGAGGTTCTGGGCAGGAAAGGGTGAGCTAAAGAGAGGGGTCAGTCTCCTTCCTCCAGCCCGGGTCCGGAGAATCGTGCTGGGCCAGGTGAGACATCCACTGTCTGTGTGGTGTCCTGGGATGGGAAGCTGGACGTGACTCAAGGGGAGATTTGTCTCTGTCTCCAGAAGGCAGAGGTGCTTCCCGGTCTCCTTGCCTTGGGCTTGGCCAAGCATTCTGGCTGCCATTGGGGCCCCCAGGACAACTGAGAACTGTCCTTTCTTCACCTTCAGCTGCCCCTCTCCTCTGCCCCCTGGTGCCTGCTCAGATGCTTTCTTCATGGAACAGCGTCCTCCTGACCCCTGGCCCCTGCCGCTGAGGCTCCTCCACCCTGGGCTCCGTGTTCTAGAGTTCACCGTGTGCTAGTTCTTCAAGCTGTTTATTCTTCACTGCTTCCTTTTTCTCTGTGCATTACTCAAGAACTACATGGCCATGTGTCAATATAAAAAAAAAAAAGTTGACTGGGCGTGGTGACTCACGCCTGTAATCCCAGCATTTTGGGAGGCTGAGACAGGCAGATCCCTAGAGTTCGAGACCAGCTGGGTCAACATGGTGAAACCCAGGATCTACAAAAATATACAAACATTTGCCCGTGCGTGGTGGCACATGCCTGTATTCCCAGCTACTTGGGAGGCTGAGGCAGGAGAATCGCTTGAACCCGGGAGGCGGAAGTTGCAGAGAGCACAGATGGAGCCACTGCACTCCAGCCTGGGCAGCAAAGCAAGACTCCTATCTCAAAAAAAAAAAAAAAAAACCAAAATCAAACCCAAACACTTTTAACTATCATCGACATTAACAACTACAAAGCGCCCGGCTAATTTTATATTTTTAGTAGAGATGGGGTTTCTCCATGTTGGACAGGCTGGCCTGGAACTCCTGACCTCAGTGATCCGCCCGCCTCGGCCTCCCAAAGTGAGCCACCGCGCACGGCCATGAATGTGACTTTATAGCCCAGATTTCCTTCCGTGAACGCTTGTTAGTCGTGAAACTAGCAAAGTTGCACCTCCGAGTTTACATAGAGCCAGCTCCGGAATCCGAGTTCCGGGTTCGAGCACAGCGCCGCCGCTACCTCGGGCGTGACCTTGGTCGGAGCCCGGTCCCCTCTGAGCCTCAGTTTCCCGATCTGGGAGCCCGGAATGACAGCTCGCCCCCTGCCCCGCCCAGCCCCGCCCAGCCCCGCCCCGCAGGCCCTGGGATTGGTTGGTGCGAGGTCCCCCTCCCCAGGTGGGGCCGGGCCTCTCCCGCCTGCTAGGCCCCAACCCGGAAATGCAGCTGGGGCGGAGGCGGGGCCCACTCAGGCCGCGGCGGAGCGACGCTGGGCGCGGCCAATGGGCGCGGGCGGCGGCTGCGGCGCGACGGAAGTCCTGCCTGGCGTCGCGCGGGGGCGGGGCGGCGCCGGGGGCGGCGGGCGGCGGGCGGCGGGCGGCGGGGCGGGCGCAGGATGAGGGCGGCCATTGCTGGGGCTCCGCTTCGGGGAGGAGGACGCTGAGGAGGCGCCGAGACGCGCAGCGCTGCGGGGGAGGCGCCCGCGCCGACGCGGGGCCCATGGCCAGGACCACCAGCCAGCTGGTGAGCGCGCGGCGGCGGCCTGGGCGCGCCGGTGGCCTGGGCGCGCCGGCTTGTTACCCCGCCGGGTGCGGCGGTCGCCTGGGTCCGGCGAGGCGGGGCGGCCCGGGATCCCCAGGGCCGGGTGCCGCCTCACCTGTAGCCGGGCGGCCGGGCGGGGGATGGCGGGCGCCGGCCGAGGGCGCTGCTCGGCTGCGGCGGGGAGTCCGGGCCTGGGTTGCGGCGGGCGCCGGCCTGGCCGGGGGCGCTGACAGACGCGCGGAGGGCGGGGGAGGCCGGGAGGTGTCACCCGGCCCAGCGGGGTGGAAGTGCCTGGAAAGTTTGTTTTCGGCTCGGCGCAGCCTGGAGTCGAGCCTGCAGGGTTACCTTTCGGTTCTGTCTGTAGAGGAACCGCCCTGGGCTTCCACCTGGAACGGGGTCCCTGGCGTCTCCGCCTGCGAGAGAAGCAGAAGGTGCAAGTTCTTGCTTAAAGCACCTGATGCGCCTGGGCCCCCGTCTCCAGATTCTCGATGACAGTGGTCGGGTAAACTCTCCTTTCACGGCCTGGCCAAGGGGCATTTGGGTGCTTTTCCTGCCCGTGGCTGTGCTCAGCGTTGTGGGAAGCCCCTGGGAGGCCGAATGTGCAGGATCACCGAGGGGAAAGTGAGCTTGACAGGTAGGAGGGATTTTACGGGAAGGACCGAAACAAACCACTTGTTGGGTGAAATGTTTTGCTAAAAGTGTCGCTGGTGTTTCTATATTTTCTTTCTGTCGCTAAAAGTATTCCTCGTGTTTTTATGTTTTCCATATGCTAAGTTCTACAGTCTGGGGACGATGGTTTAAGAATTTATGCCTTGTATGCGATGCGCAGTGGGTGATGGAAGAACGTCTACATAGCTTTAAAATTTGATTTAAAAGGTGAATATTTTAAATGAAGGAAAACTCAAGAAATGTAATTGATCCTTTATCGGATGCGGCTTTTTTTTTTTTTTTTTTTTAGATAGAGTCTCGCTCCCGACGCGCAGGATGGAGTGCAGTGATGCGATCCCGGCTCACTGCAACCTCCAACTCCCGGCTTCAAGTGATTCTAGCTGCTGCCTCCCTAGTAACTGGGATTACAGGCGTGTGCCACCATGCCCGACCAATTTTTGTATTTTTAATAGAGATGGTGTTTCGCCATGTTGGCCAGACTGGTCTTGAACTCCTGACCTCAGGTGATCTGCCCGCCTAGTCCTCCCAAAGTGCTAGGATTACAGGCATGAGCCACCGTGCCTGGCAGATGTGGCTTTTTGATAGGCGTGGCTTTTTGATAGGCGTTCTTGATCTTTTTTTATGTGTGTATGGGGGTGTAGTGAGTCTGAGAACCTGAGGAAAGGTATGGGCCCTCTTCCGAGAAAAATGCAGTGCGACACTGAATTTTGTAACTATGTCAGGAGGCTCTTGAACTTTCTGCAGCTCACTTGTGGACTTTGTAGAGATGCGTGATAATCCGAAGTGTTAAGGAAGAATATTCAGTTGAGAAAAATGTCGAAGGGTTGAAAGAGATGCCTTTCGCTATTTCGACTTGTGTGGCTGTACCCCAGAGTGCCCCGGGTAACATAAAAACATGAATTAGGGGCCGGGCGCGGTGGCTCAAGCCTGTAATCCCAGCACTTTGGGAGGCTGAGACGGGCGGATCACGAGGTCAGGAGATCGAGACCATCCTGGCTAACACAATGAAACCCCGTCTCTACTAAAAATACAAAAAAATTAGCCGGGCGAGGTGGCGGGCGCCTGTAGTCCCAGCTACTCGGGAGGCTGAGGCAGGAGAATGGCGTAAACCCGGGAGGCGGAGCTTGCAGTGAGCCGAGATAGCGCCACTGCACTCCAGCCTGGGCGACAGAGCGAGACTCCGTCTCAAAAAAAAAAAAAACAAACATGAATTAGGCGGCTTGCTGAGGCTCAGCGGAGGCTGGGGCCGAGAGTCATGTCGAAGTTTGTGAGGTTAACCTGCACCCAGTGACAGTCATGGCGAAGTTTGTAACTCGCACCCAGTAACGCTGTTGCAATGCAAGGTGTATATTTGGTGTCATCCACGGGAAGAGGAAAGAACAAATTTTCTCACGGCCTTGGCAGTTCCACATGGTGGACATTTAGTATCTGCAGTATTCTTCACATAAGGCAGCTTTTTTGTATAAAAACATTAGAATCCAGTGAGCAAGAATGATAGAATACAGGATAGATTTCCACATGAGGAAGTGTCAGGAACGAGGCTTTTGCATCTCTGTCAGCTGGATTTCCACATGTGTACATATGTGAGAACATGCTGTGTTTCCTGTCCATAATGGTGGAGGCAGCCCTAATATTGTATTTTCACTTCAGGGTTGGGGTGGGTTTGCATCTGGACTTTAGGGTGGCCCTGTAGGCCCTGTGTGAGAAGCCCCTGCCCGGTGAACTTTCCCACGTGTGTATGCGTGGACAGCCAACAGAGGGAGCAGTGCGAGCGTGAAGGCAGACAGTGGCCTGGCCCAGTCTGATGCTAAGTGGGCCAGAGGCAGTGAGTACCATTTCTTGAGCTGACTACTTAAGCCAGGCGCTTTCCTAGGTACTTTCACACCTCACTGCAAGGTAGCTGTTGTTCCCATGTTACAGGTGCAGAAGCTGAGCTGCAGAGACGTTAAGTACCTGCCTCATAAGTGGTAGAAACTCCAGTGTCACCCTGCCCCTCACGTTCAGAGCCCCCGAGGGAGGGTCTGCCGGGCAGCTCAGCCCAGCACTCTGTGTAAGGAAGTCTTCAGTGCCACCGTCCAGGATGTCTTCCCGGGGATTGGGCCTGAACGTCTTGACCATGCCTTGCTGGAGACAGGAGGGGTGTCTTCATGTGGATTGACTGTACATATTTCTTTGGCAGATGGCTGAGCTCTGTGACCCCGGGGCCTGTTTCAGCCTCCTGCTGTCAGAAAGCAGCTGTTTGGAAAGAGGCTGTGATTCGGCCTTGTTTGAGGGCCGATACTCTGAATGGGTGAGGCTTGGAATCCTCCCTTTGGAACAAAGAAACATGTAATGATTTTGCTCAAGGTAGAATTGGGGGACTAGGCAGAGTGGGCTCCTGCCCTCCCTAGGGTGGTTCTGTCTTTTGCAAAGGTGGCTGCATCCTTAGGGGAAGGTGAGGGGAGAAGCAGAGAGCATGGAGAGCAGTGGCTTTCGATTTTCTCCCTCCTTTTGGGGAGTTCCTCCTTATGTGGCTGGTCTGGTGCATAGTGTGATGTATCCCTGTTCCCACCGATGCCCCGACAGCCAGTCCAAGCTGAGTCCAGAGTTGGCAAGGTGAGGTCCCAGTAGTAAGAGGGAAGTGGTTTGTTTGGCTCTTCTGAGATGTGTTTTATGAGAAAGATCCAGCAGCAGCCTGCAGAGATGTGGGGCCTGAAAAGAGGCCTTGGGCAGGTCTTCTCAGCAGGCCTTGGCCCTCTAGACTGCATTCAGCACAGTTTTGGGGAGGAACAGGGAGCGTTCCCTTTTTTTTTCTTTTTTCTTTTTTTTTTTTTTGAGGTGGAGTCTCTCGCTCTATTGCTCAGGCTGGAGCGCAGTGGTGCGATCTCCGCTCACTGCAAGTTCTGCCTCCTGGATTCACACCATTCTCCTGCCTCGGCCTCCCAAGTAGCTGAGACTACAGGTGCCCGCCACCTCACCCGGCTAATTTTTTGTGTATTCGGTAGAGATGGGGGTTCCCCTTGTTAGCCAGGATGGTCTCGATCTCCTGACCTCGTGATCCGCCCACCTTGGCCTCCCTAAGTGCTAGGATTACCAGTGTGAGCCACTGTGCCCAGCCTAGTGTGCTGGAGTGCAGTGGCACGTCCTCGGCTCACTGCAAGCTCCGCCTCTTGGGTTCACGCCATTCTCCTGCCTCAGCCTCCCAAGTAGCTGGGACTACAGGCGCCCACCACGCCTGGCGAATTTTTTGTATTTTTAGTAGAGATGGGGTTTCACCGTGTTAGCCAGAATGGTCTTGATCTCCTGACCTCGTGATCCACCCACCTCGGCCTCCCAAAGTGCAGGGATTACAGGCATGAGCCACCGTGCCCAGCAGTGGTCCCTTTTCAATCTATACATTCATCCCCTGAGCCGCCTGACCCAGGGTTTAGATGCTTCAGAGCAAGTGATTGACACGGGTGGGAGATGGAGTCCAGCAAGCAGATGATGAACTGGGAAGCGCTGCAGAAATGAGGGGGCGAGCATGGCCAGTCCCTTCTGAGAGAATGTGTTTGGAAGAGAGTGGGCACTGGCGTGGCACTTTCCCCCTCTGAAGAGGCATCTTCTGTGGAAATGGACTTGGACAGGATGCCACATGGTACAGCAGTTCTGTGGGGGGCAGGTTGTGGCTGCGGAGAAGCACTGGGTGCAGAAACAGTCCCCCGAGCAGGTGCGAGGGCTAGGGTGCTGTGTGCTGCTCCACGCCTGCCGTGCGGTGACAGGTGGCCAACGGGCTGCCCAGCACAGTTGTTTAGAAAGCAGGTTCAAAGGGCAGTGTGCTGGGAGGAAGTGCTGGTGTGGAAACTGCAAGTTTTGGACATGTATTGCTCAGGTCTTTTCAGCCGTGCCTCCTTCTATAACAGAATTGCATTATTCGCTTGCTCAGTGTGACATCATGTCCTTTAAAAAATATTTGAAAATTGAGAACAGGTTGTATGTTCCGTCTCTAGCTGTTAGATCACACGCAGGGCACATTTTCTCAAAGAGTAACGAGACATGGGTTCTGTGTGTTCTCTTCTCTCTTAGCGAGGAGAAAGCCCTGTTTGGGTTCATGATGCTTGTTGGGGGGGGTCTCTTTTCTGTACCTGATGTTCGTTGCACAAAGTCTGTTTCCATTCTCTTAGTCTAGAAAATTTTCCTGATATTTCAACTGGAATTTTTGCTCCAACAAATTCCAGGTCATTTAGAATGTGTTATGATTGAGTTTCTGGGCCACACATCCTTTATAAGAGCACGTGATTCTGGTTTCTGTTTGTTTGTTTGTTTATTTTTTTTTGAGACAGAGTCTTGTTCTGTCACACAGGCTGGAGTACAATGGCATGATTTCGGCTCACTGCGAACTCTGCGTCGTGAGTTCCAAGTGATTCTCGTGCTTCAGCCTCCCAAGTAGCTGGGATTACACCTATATTATTTATTTAGTTAGTTAGTTTATTGAGATGAGGTCTCGCTATGTTGCCCAGGCTACTCAAACTTCTGGGCTCAAGGGATCCTCCTGCCTTGGCCTTCCGAAGTGCTGGGATTACAGGCATGAGCCACCGCACCCGGCCTGGTTTCTGTTTAAAGAGTTGAATTGTACAGGGGCCCACAGAATCGAGAACTGACAGTACTGTAGAGCCTGTATATGAAGAAGATGGACGAGCCTGACATGAGCAGCTCACCGTTGAGCACATGGCTCCCTGCAGAATAAACAAGTGTGTGATTTTCATCTGATGAAGGTGGGCATGGAGTTCCTGGGCAGTTCAGTGACTTCCTTCATTCCACAGACAAGATCAGATGCCCCCTCTATCAGCCACCATGCTACGGACTGGCCCAGTCTGTTTTCAGATCAGCTTGTAGCACGCAGGGATTCGAAATATTTGAAGATGAGGTTTGAAGGTATGTCTAGAGACCCAGGATGTTAGTTCTGGAGGTCCTTGTCTCCCGCGTGTTTGCGGAGCTGGTGAGCTG